TGAATATAGAGGGAAAGGTGTTGCTGCGAAACTGCTTGAGAGGGCAGTGAACTACGCAAAAATTCACCACTATGACAGAATTTTCTTGGATACGACCAGTGCGCATAAAAGGGCTCATCGATTCTACGAGAAGCACGGTTTTCATCTTGTAAATGTTCATCCGTTTCCTCAGCTACTTCCAACAAATCTTCAATTGCATGACTTTGAGTTGCAGTTATAAAATTAACAGTGTGACATTGAAGCTCCTCTCAGTCTTTGGATATTGCCAGGCACTAGGTAGGTGGCTCATGCACCGAGTCCATAGAGCAAAAATAAACAGAAAATTTAAAAATGGTTTTTATTCTACGACTGCAGCATTTCGTAATTTATCGTCTCTAACAGTGAAAGTTTCTAACTTTTACCCACACAGCACTCCTTCACTTTCCTTTCAAAATCTCAAGCCCAAAGTGCACGTGTGGTTATAAGGTTTCCGCTACCTAGAATTGATCCCAGTTTGCCCCTTCGAAAGAGAAGATCAGCGGTCCTATCAGTAGTTCTTTATTTAATTTTTTTTTAATTTAGAACCAAGAGTACTCTTGGTTGGATAGAATTTTATAATATTGTCAAACTCACGATCGTGGAGATCCTTCATGATCGCGTAGCATAATTCCTATTGTTAGGAACCCTTGAACACTATCCGGCTTCGCTTAATGATCACAACTGAAGAAAGCAATGCCGCGGCAGGCAACTGCTGCCCTCAATATTTGATCATTTCAGAGGTCGTGCTGTCAACTTTCGGCGCTGTCTTTTAGAGAAAAACAGCACCATCCTGGTAACCTGGTGTCTCTGGCACACGAGAAAACACGTGAACAACTACGTTACGGTACGTGCAATAAGCAACTGCTTCCTTGAACATATGATCAACTGAAACCCCAACGGAAAGTTATTTAAAAGATTCAGCGCTGCTCTCATACCATATGATATGCTGAATTGGAGTTGTTGCGGCGTAGGAGACGGTAAACACGTCCAACCATTTGCGAAACTCTAACTCAAGACATAAATTGGTTTTTTTTATCGACATTTTCCTCGGCGTTGCAGTTCTGACTGCTTAAGGTCCCTCCTATCCACGTGAAGCACGCGACATAAGGTGTCTACTGGCTAAATGTCTTGCAGGAAAACAATTTTTCCCTTGTCATGATTTTATGATATCTTTTAAATGTCTTTCTGAGGAAAGTTTCTGTTAGTTGATGTAATTCATGCAGTCTTGATACCAACAAAGGTGAACACTAATCCACTGAGTTTCTGTAAGGCTTAAAGCAAAGGAACACCAACGCAGAACATCCCACCACCAAAATTACCAAGCTGTACTCCAGCAGTAGTTCAGGTGCTCTTACAGTTCTTGGGCCTCAGGATTCACTTGTCAAAGAGATTCGGTTGATACGTGAGTAATCTATAAAACGTCCACCCTCGTAAATCCGTTATGGCTTGCATACCTCCTCTATATCAATTCAGGAATTTGCCCTTTCTTTTCGGCTTTGTTTGTCGATTTGAAACAGTCATTGTTGTGCGCATTTTTACTTGTAATGGTCAAATTCAATTTTCTCGACTACCTGAGACACGTTTTGTTTCTAAAGTTACGCTGGGAGGATTTAGCGATTGACCTATTCTAGCGATTAAAGGAGATATAAATAACCATGTTCTCATGAATCAATGTCACGCGATACCTGTTTTTTTTGTTCAATAGTATCTATTGCTAAGTTAAGCCAAAAGGCGTGCAGAATATGTTACTGTCTGGCCCCTTCATTTTGATTTTTTTCTTGGATGGGGGAGGGAGAAGGGAAGGGGGCACTCACCGGGAGCACTCTCAGTCTAAATGACTTCTTTTAAAACGGAAAAACAAAAAAAAGAAATCAAAACAAAACGCGGTTTCGCTGCAGAGACATAGGCAGAATATTTTTCCGAATTAAAAAATTGAAAACTGAGCTGAAGCAAAGTAGGACTTGTCCAAACCTCGATAATTAAGAACCGAATCTAGTGTTGTCGAGAAACAAATCCAGCCAGTGGTTAGGGCGAGAAATCAAGCGGTAACCGGGAAGAAATTAACCATCTTAAACCGCTTAGCTTCCGTCTTCATAATTTCCAGACTTGCGGTCATCGAGATAGTTAAAACGTGATTTAACGGAAGGTTTTGCTACAATTGAAATGTCAAATTGAGAAAAATTTAAACACAATTGTTATCCAGGTGAAACAAGGTAATTTCAAACAAGCTTTCATCATTCAATTGAGAACCTTATGGTCAAGGAAATGAATTAGTTTTAAAGCATTTCCGTGTATGCCTCGTAGCTTTGTGTCACCCAACATTACAACAATACCGTTATGTGTATATCCTTATCCGCAACGTTTCCAAAAATCACCTCTTTTAGTAACTCCACCTCGGGGGTTTCCTGTCAGTATCTTTAAATTATCTGAACTTGACACTCCTTCCACTAGAAATCTAACCCGGATACAGCATCCTGTATCGCCTTTTAGCAGCTTGTTAATTTTTAAGTAAGATATTATGTTTGGTCAAGGGAGAATGGCGTGATAAGAATGCGGGTGAAATAAGGCTTTGAAGGTGTAATAACTATTGTCATTATATTTCGTCGCAATCTTCGAAGAGATTCGTTTCCACGAAATAGAACATCTAACCGTCGACACGTTTACAATCAAGCAGCCTAAAGCAATATGAACTGCAAGTTAGAATCATGCCTATACTATATTGAATAAAAAAAAACATTTGTACCTATCGATTTCGAGCACGAACTTAACAGCGTTTATGCGGGCAAATGCCCTGAACATTTTAGGAAAAAGATAACGAAATTTTTTTTCAAATGTTAAGTCCAGTGTCGTTCCATCACATGGAAGCCACAGATAGGCCTGGATAGTGCAAATCTGAGATTTAAGTTAATGTCCAGAATGACTGTTTGGCAAATATCCTCTATTTCGACTACAATCAACTGAAAATCTGTTCAGTTAATCGAATTATGAGGAAGTGCTTCCACCGTCTACGCTCAAGGGTAAACCCACAATTCCTCTATTCGCTCCGACGAAGGGCTAACGCTCGAAACGTCGGCTTTTATAACCGTAACGGTGGTCAATTTACCATTTCAACTTTGTTGACATATTCAAAATTATTTCGGTAAACCGTAGATACATGTACTATTAACCATCTTACTTCAGGAGTCACCGAAACTGGTATTAATCCTTACAATTTGATTACATTTTGAACCAAATGTTGATAGGAAGAAGTAAAAAACATAACATGTTCGATTCAACCCCATATTTTCGGATTTAGACAGGTAGGGGGAAAATTAATATTGATATCTGGATATCAATAGTTGAAGGTTTGATCAAGACAGTTCTAACAGTTCAGCCTGAGGTCGAAGGAAGAATACTGCATGTCTGCAAGAAGTTTTTTCGGATAAGGAAATACTGCCACAAGCTTGAAGCCGTATTTCTTGTAAAGTCGAATGGCTGGTGTCTGTGCACTGGTGGTAGTCAATACAAGCTTCTCAAATTGCTGTTCTTTGGCATGTTTGAGCAGCTCGTCGAGCAATTTCCTGGCAATTCCCATTCTTCTACAGGCTGATGATACAGACATCCTCTGAAGTTCAGCGACTCCTGGTTTGTGGCCTTCATTGTGTACAAGGCCAACCATTCCCACAACTTTACCATTCCACTCAGCCACCCACATGTGGGAGCCATCATTGGTCATGTAAATCTTTTCAATCTTCTTCAAATCTGTTGCCAAACAACGGTTAATGTACTTCCAACACTCCAGATAAACATGCACGTACAAAAGCGAAAGTACAACTAAACAAGCAAATATGTAGAGGGGAACAAGCCACAGGGAATACTTTATGGCAGCAAGAAACACAAAGGCACTTAAAGCTGCTAGAAGCCAACAGTATCTGGGGAAGACCACTTGTGCCACAAGCTTGATCAATTGCTCCATTCCCTGAGTGAATATTTCTCGACACTCCTTGTAATCAGCACTTCGATATGATCGTACTTTCACTCCATTGGAGTCGGTGGTTTTCAGGGGCGAAGACATCTGTTCAATACAAAATTGGACCATATGATATCATAAGAACAGAACTTCATTTAAAATAGGACAAAAAGGTATGTGAATGCTCAGGATATACATTTACATTCGCCACTATGCTTGGGTGTATGTCTTTACATTAATTTCAAATTTCTTTTTTTTCCTGGTTACATATCCTAGACATAACACACTTCGTTTGACAGTTTTCGTATCGATTATTTTTAATTGTAAGGTAAATGCACGGTCCGCTGAACTGATTAAAAACCGAAGAAAGTACTCCGTCGACGTTTGATTCAACCGTCAGGGCCGATTTTCCATTGTGGTTGATTAGTGTCGCTGGATCGACAATATGGATGACTCGAATGATTAACTGCGATTTAGTAACGATAGCGAAACGGCCTTCCAAAATAACCAGCACTATTCGATTATACTTAGGCCATCATGCGAGTCAGCCGGTGTTCGAGAAATGGTGCAAAGTCCATTTTCACTTTGTAACTTGTTTCCCAATGTCTATTGTTACATAACAAGACATGACAGAAATTATCTGGTAGCAGACTTACTTGGCAGCTTCAAAAGTCGTCTTCCACCCAGCACGCTAAAGATCTCAGGTATTTCAACAACAGTTGATCGTGGGCTCGGTGGCTAAAAGACAGAGCTTACCCTTTTCTTAACGCTTTTAGCTAAGAGAGCGTGACTTTTCTACTGGATTATTTACGGTTTTTTACCGGTCTACGTAAGAGAATTGTCTGTTACTTGACGTGTGATAGGTGCCTGTTTAATCATGACACCTAGTGACGAATGACCAGTGTCTTTCGACCAATCAAAGCACTAGAAATGGATTAGACGTGACGTTGATTTCGAAATAAACACGGAACGATTAATTTTCTCTTTAATGTATTTCTATGACAATTTATAGGTTTATTTTCTTGCATTTCTTCATCGATATATCTCATTATTACACAACAACAGAGATGTTGTATGCTTTTGTAGACTTACTCCAATTAATATCCAACCATCTAACTTAATGGCGTGTGGGTCGCGGGGATATTTAGATTACATAAATTGCTCCTCGTACGATGTTTGAATTCACTTTCTCTGTTGAACATTCATCCCCTATAAAAACTGGCAGATGCCCAGTGCGATTTAAAATCACTGCTCTGATGATAGAATCGTAAACTGGAGTCCAGGTTTGAACTTGACAAGGATGCATTTTTCAGTCCGCTTCCAAATCCTAACAACTACACTATTTTTAGCGTGACATGCATGTTTTGATTAGATCGAGTACGTCCGTAATGACTTCACGTGTCAAAGCACGCAATCAAATCGTGCACTTTTAAAAAAATACGGATAGTTCATGGAAAACGTGGAACCGTTTAAAGTCTATTTCGCTCGTTGAGTGATCTGCCCTAAAAGCCAAGCAAGATCTCTTTTGTGTGCAAAAGAAAGGACGTACCACGAGTGAAATCATTCTTTATCATGTCTGGTCATAGTCATAAAGAAGGGTGGAAAAGAAGGGTAAATGGTTGGGAGAACTGAAGAAGTGTCCACCATTGTAATTGAGTTCTGAATATCGGAAATTATCTATATGTCCTGTTTTCGTTATCTAACATTTCTGGCTTCCCTTGCTGGCCATTCTGCTGGAGACACGTTTATTTCTTTTGACATGAATCGATTCCATGATTTGTTCTTGGCAGCTTTGCGAGAGCTCTGTCGATTCGTGCATACGTTCGTTGTCAACCGGCGTTGTCAACATTATATTTAATTTCCACTGGAGGCTTTTGTTTTTTTTTAGTTTTGTTTCCTCTCAGAAACCAAGTACTGGTAGCTTAATCTTTTTGAGTTCATAAAACAGATATAAACAAGCTAACTTAATTCTAAATCTTTGATCTAATTGGGGTCGTTGTGTCCCAGACGACAATTATTATGGTGGTGAGAGCGCTCGCTTTACACCAATGTGTCCCGGGTTCGATTCCCGGACCCGGCGTCATAAGAAGATTAAGTTTGTTGGTCCTCTACTCTGCTCCGAGAGGTTTTTCTCCGGGTACTCCGGTTTTCCCCTCTCCTCAAAAACCATTATCATTTGAATTTATTTAATTTAGAGTTTATTTAGATTTACACACTACCCCACAAGTTGTTCAACTTTAAACATTATCGTGTCTAAATAAAGGTGTGATTATTATTATTATTATTATTATTATTATTATGGACCTACGGAGCAGAGGATGTGTTCGTCAACATGAAAAGTGCCATTGTTTTTATTGCATGAAATAGGTGGAAAATTTTTCTTAAACCCTCGAAATTGGCGGAAGTAATCTTTGACCTCGAGAGTGTGTTGCGCAAGAATAATTTCGAGAACAGACATTGTTACGGGAAAAATCACAGGCTGGAACAAGATGTTATCATATCCATATATTTCATTGGTTGAGAGGATTCTCTCTTATCATGGTTCTATGCATCGTTTTCTCAAGGTTATATCTACTTCTTTTTTGAATTTTGGGAAAAACTAAAGAATCATCACCAATCGTGGTATACGACGTGCATAAACAACCTGGGTAATCAGTCTAATTTGTTAGAGCTATGGATGGTATACGATAAATGAACGATTTTTATTGCAACCTGCCAAATTGTACGCATTTAATCTTTATACACATTTGATGAAATAAAATCACTTGTTAGCGGTAGTTATTTATGCCCGATATATCTATAATATGGTTCACGTACTGCCCTTGGTTCGGATCAAATAACTTTTCAGTCAACAATAAAAATAAGTTAAAAAAAGCTTGAAAATTAGTCAGTACTCTGGACATCTATGAGTAGGTTTCTTGTTTTTCACTGCCGTCCGATTCATTTGCATGCAGCCTACAGAGCGGTACAATGTATGGGACCCATCAAAACAGCGTTCTTCTAACCGACAGCAACCTTCTGCCCATCTTGTAAACTTCTCTAGTTACAGAGCGTTTCCAAAGTTCAAGTCGAGTCCAAATTAATTTCGTGGAAACTGTTCTTCATTTTGCAATCTTTTTTGCATTTCAATAAGAACCACTTGACTCGTCATTTCCTACTCATTCAGTTTCACGGGAAAAAGGAAGAGTCCAATTTGTTTGTTGACATATTTAGGTGTTGCTTCAACAACTTCAAAAATAGCGAAATGAGGATGAAAGTCCCCACAGTCATAACCACTAGGCAGTACTCCAAAATCCATTCTTGTGTTGAGTATTGTCGGAGAATTCTGCACCTGTATAATTCACGAGAGGTGGGGATTTGTTCTGGTCTGGGTCCCTCTGCCATCTTGTCTAAGAAACCCTTTGCGTTGCAGTCGTTGAAGTTCTAATGAAATGTGTTGGTCTTTGAAAATAATCAAATTATTATATCATGTAAGGATCGTTTTATCACATGAATAACAGGAAACACAACCCGGTTTTATTAAAGCTTTACGGAACGTTTTCTTTATCAACTTCCGCTGGTCATCGTTTGCGTGACAATAGCTCTTCAGAGTTTGAGGAAAATACATTGATAGATCAGCACTCATAACAAATCTTAGAAAAAAGCTTTGGTGGGAAGATGAAGAAGCAGATTTTGCTCTCTACTGACCGATTTTCTTTCTCTCAAGGAGCTGAATAAGTGAACAGGGTTCTCAACACCTGTAATTTCTTTACACTTACAGTGATTAACAGTTGAACCTTACTCAATCAATCAACTATATTGGTGCTTGTGACGTCATTGTCCTTCCGACGTTCTCTCTTAAGGTTTACATAATTGGAAAAATTCCATTTTTGTGCCCACAGGTTGCGTTTCGTACTCTTAACCCACTCTTTTGAGCATGCTATCTCCCAAATGAGTACTTCAAAAACATCTTAGAGCATTTAAAACTTAGTTTTAAAGATTTCATGGAAAAAAAATCGGGAGAATCCATGCAATACCTCCAAATCAAGAACTCTGTATTTAAAAACAAAAGAATTTTCAGATAGCTCGGGTCAATGGTCCAAGTATACGATACTTTTGATTATCGTGATATAACGAATATTTTCAAAGAACACGCGACGTTTTTCAGTACCAAGCCAGACCCAGAAATAATGCAGTAATTGATATTTAAATTTCTCAATTAAAAAGGCTGTATATAGAAACGTGGCATTTTTACTTGAAAATATTGCGTGGGAATGGCGTGGAAATCCTACACCTTTCTAGAATGCCCTCTCTTGACCTCGTAAGTATTATGATCATTCTCAAGTCTGAAAGTCACGTTCACATACATGTACGACTTAGAAATTTAACAGACTTCAAATTAAGATTTCTTTTTGAGAAAATGGGCAGGTTAAGGCAGATCAGCCTACCAGAGCCAATCCCTGACCCCTCTAACGGTGGCCGTGTGAGGCACAATATCATTTTTTGTCAATGAGATTTAAACAGAGTGGCTATAAGGAAAAAGGGATTTTTTTTTTCTTCGTTTTGCTCTTTTTTCGCTTTTATTTTTGTTTTTGCATTTGATTTCTGTTTTGCTTTCGTTTGTTGGTATTGCACTTCTCGACTTGGTTTGCTCGGAGGAGAGATATTCAAACCCCTGTCAAACTTTTCATTCGTTCATTGGTTTAAATGTCTTCCCCGTGTGAAAGCGAGGTTAAACGAGACCGGCCTAATCGCGTGAAAATTCGAAAGAGCAGACATTTATGGCGTTCTTCCATTATCGCTGATATCTCTTTTTGCAAATGTGTTTTTGAAATGAATCTCTCTCATTTTGAGTTTTACGTGAAAATGACCGTAGAATGACTACACGAAAAAAAAAAAAAATAGAAAAAAAAAAAAATAAATAAAAATAAAAAAAAATAAAATAGGAAAAAAAATTAAATAAAAAAAATAAAAAATGAAAAAAAAAATAAAAAAATAAAATAAAAAATAAAATAAAATAAAATAGAATAAAATAAATAAAATAGATGAGTAAAATAGATTATACAGCCGCCTTCTGAACCAGCTGTTTCAAAAACGTTCTCCGCCAGCCTTACTTTATACCTTCAACTTACAGTTTAAATTAATTCTATATTCTACTATGTTATTATGGTGCTTTCCAAATGATATGGTATCCATATCTTGAATTGTATCTTACATAAACTTTTAAGATTTTCTATCATGTTTGTTATCTAAAAACTTGCTTGATATATTTCTCTTGCATACATTCACAATTTTCAATTACTATTCTGCATGAACACTTTTTGTTTCTCTTTAATTTTTTTTCTCTTAATTAACGAGTACTAACTTGCCACCATCTCTGTGAATGCTCAAGTGCAAAATGTATTTCGTTCTTAAAAAAGTAGTTTAACAAATTGACAGTGGTTAAGCGTGGTCTGTACTCCCAAGTTGTCGACAACGCTATTCGTCATCAGAGTAGTCAAAGTGTTGGGGACTCCCAAAGCGCAGCCGCTAAACTAATATCGATTTTTTTTTTCTCACCACAATATCGACTTCAGATAAAACGAATTCTTCCAATGAGTGACACGTTGCGTGACACGTTTACGCGAGCAGTGTTGTCTGTATTCTCTATAATCGACAGCGACAAATTGGCCAATCAGATTGCGACACTACTGCCAATTGTGGTAAAAAATTTTCTTCCTGCTGGACCCTCTTTCTTCAATTTTTCTCGTTCTTTCTTCTGTTTTCCCATTTTTGTTTCGCGCTCAGGCTAAAGGAAGAAATCCACGCCCTAAGACAGGAACCCGGGAGGAAGAAGGTGGAAATTCTCCTTATCCGGAGAAGATTCTATTCAGAAATTCTTTGACGGTTAGCTCAATTGATAGAGCGCCGGACTGTTGTGCGGGAGGTCGTGAGTTCAAATCCGGCCGGACCAACACTCAGGGTCTTTAATTAACTGAGAAGAAAGTGCTGCCTTCGTAATAATATCTGCAAATGGTTAAACTTTCTAGTCTTCTCGGATAGGGACGATAAATGGAGGTCCCGTCTCCTGCGGGGTTGGGGTAGGAGACGTTAATTTCCCACACACGAGATTACTCTGTGATGGATGTCCTCCCCGGGGTGGGATGGGTGGTAAAAAAGGGGTTAGGTGTCGAAAGTTCTGTTCCTTTCTCCTGCCATTCCTGTGGCGAATTAATTAAACTTAAACTTAAACTTAAGTTTATCAACGAGTAAATAGCAATCGTTGATAACGGTTGGTTGAACGTACATGAAGTGTTAACAACTCTGTCCAGTTATGTATCTTTGTTTTAGACAAAGGCTGTAAGTCCATGGAAAGTTCTGCCAACTGTCAGTTTGAACAAAGGCTTGCTGTTCAGAAGATAGAAAGTTATGCTTACCTATTTTCCAGCTGCTCGAGACAAAATCAAGAATGCTGCTCGTATTTACTCTTAAACAAAGACACGCTGTCTAGATGATCGAAATTTCTGCTTTTCATCTCCTTTCTGGGAAAATACGGTCAAAATTACTTATTATTTTGATCCTAAAATGGGTATCCATGAAATCTAAACCCGAATTCGCAGAAGAGCTACTGACAAGCAATTAGTAATCAGCAGAAAACGATTGAAATTTAACTATTCCCTCTGCATGTGATACAAAGGTCTCCAGATATAAATACTGTAGCTACCTAAGAGAACTAAACAGATATCGGAGGTACTGCAAGTGACTTGTCTGCAGCAGCAAAGAATTACCAAACAAGAGTATTTCGTATCTCATGGAAGATGGAAGCAAGGCCTAGACCGGTGTATTCTTACAACCCAGGATATATTCGCCCTTCTAGCGATTTACGCAGATGCCCTGTGCATGTTGTCAGGCAGTTATCAACGCAAGAACTGATTTTGGAGTACTGCCTTGTGATTGTAACTGTTGGTTTTTTTGTTATAATTTCACTTTTATTCGGAATGCTTAAGTGCCGCCTTAACATGGCAAGCAATGAACTGGACTCGTCCTTCTTCAGGTGAAACTGCTGAGAGAGGGAATTAAATATTCATGCTTGTCGCCACTTATGCAGATGCCTTGCGGGTATTGTCAAGCAATTATCAACGCAAGAACTAATTTTGGAGTAATACCTTGTGGTTGTAAATGTTGATTTATCGTCCTTATGGTTTTATTATTGCGCAAAATGCTGAAATGCTACCTCAGTAGTATGGCAAGGAATAAATTAGACTCGTCCTTCTTCTGGTTGAACTGAGTGGGGGAAGAAACAGCACGGCAAGTTTTACTATTTCAAAAAATGTAGAACGAATTTATAGTCTCCAAATGTTGGATCCAACTTGAGCTTTGGAAAAGTGGAGTGAAGTGACCGCATGCAGTAGGATTACTTGATAGGTCATGTAAAGTGTATCAGTCAACGCATGGGACGGCTCTAATATGCAACAATTGTGTCACTAAGTCTTTTTATTTTAAGTCCAGAAAAAAAAATGAGAAAGTTTGTCTGAAAGGCAAGTTTTTTTGCATACCATTTTGCGATTTAGCTATCGAAAGTTGTGATGTTCATAATCTTAGCTGATTTGATTCTATTCCTGCGATCGTCTGCGATCGCGATCGCACTGGATCGCACACGATCGGCTGCGATCATACTGAACCAGGCTTTATATCGACACTTTTTTTTATTTTTTTTTTTAACCATTAACTCCTGACACCGGGATAGAGATGTAAAATGTAACATTTGTCTGAGGGAATCCTTATTGAATCTAGAGACGGTTTTTTGGCTGTAAAGTGAATGTTGATTAACTGCCATCTGCGAGCCATTCATTCGGAATCGTATTATGCAGTGAGTCAAAAAATAAGTTCAGGTTATCAGCTTTTGTCTGGTGTTGCGCGTCAATAAGGTTGATGCAGTGTAATTTACCGTACACCTTTTTATAATTTTGATTGTTATATAGCTGGCAGTGCCCGTGGGCAAGATTAGGCAAATCCTGTGTTCTGATTGGCTACCCAAGCGGGCAAGATGGAGCCATTATCCCTTGCAAGAAAAGAAGTGCGGTAAACGGACTTCGTAACTTTTGGATGAAGAAAGCAGTCGAAAAGAAGACAAAAATTAAATGAGCCCCTTACGTACTTCGAAAAAAACCTGAGGGCTGTTTATGTACTTATTATAAACAAGTCATTATTCATTCTTACTAAGCGAAATATTTTTGCTATACGATAAATCCTTTCATATTTATCGACACTGACTACTATTATTGCTGCTATGTTAATCCCTTTGCTAAAATAGATATTATTTTAACACAACAGGAGTTCATTGAAAAAACAAATAGTTTGGAGTAGTGAAAAAAGGGAACTGACTGTATGCTACCTGTCGTGGACTTACGTGGGACAAGAAAGAAATGCCGAAGGAACAGCAGGGGAGGGGAGGGGAGAGGGGATCGTTTGTACATGGTTGGTGGTCTTTAAAGATGAATCGTTATCTAAATTTTAAAAATATAATTTTGAAAACAGATATCACCGAGGCTCGTGTGTTGCTGGAATTGTAGAGATGGTGGCTTTCTGCATCAGGTAGAATAAATCATTCCGTCTCGATCCAAACATTACCAAGAAATTAGGCCGTAAGAGGTGAGCTTAAGAAAACTCCCAGCACTAATTCATCAGATTCAAGACCAATCGCCACAAAGTCACCGGCGAAGGACGGTGGACAGAAGATCGGAGGCAAGGGCTCTTCAGGCGACTTACCGCTGGTGGTTAGTGTCACCCTGCGTTTGGATAACGACCAACAGTTGTTGCTGAGAGCTACTGATATGGAGGCAGCGTGGCCAAGTGGTCAGCGTGTTGGACTCGCGCAAACCGCCGCTCACGCGTTCGAGTCCCGCCCTGACCACTATCTAGATTTGTTTCACTGTAGCTCCGAGTTCAAATCCTTGGCCTTGCTTGTAAATTAATAGCCAACTGGTTTTCCATTGGCCGGTTGGGATTCTTAATAATGATATCTTCAATTTTGAATTATTTGTTTCAGTTGTTTGCAAAGGACCACAATGAGAACTACTGATACTACCAGCAATTGTGCAATCCAATAAAGTCATTATTTATTTATCTATTTATTTATTTATTTAAAGCAGGATTACGAGCATACAAGAATATCTTATCTAAACAAATTAAGATACAACATTGAATATTAGTTACATTAAGTTTCAAATCCCCTGCCATGCATCAAAATTCCAATTATGCGCGCCGCTACCTGAAAAAAATGCTTACGCCTTTGCAAAGCAGTAATAAACACTAGTCCTAACGTTAAATCCCGGAAATCTCCGATGCTGAACCATGGGAAATACTTAGATTTAAGAAAAACAAAATTTCTTAGTTTTCCTACGGAATATACACTAATTGACTGATTTTATAGTACTTCTGGCGAGGGCACTTGATAACGCAGAGGGATGGTTGATGTTTGTGGAAATGAACGAACGAGCAAACAAACCAACAATTGCAAGTAGAAGAGTTATCGCGAAAAAACATTCTAAAGTACTAATTGGCAGATGTTGGAGCCAAAAAAACAGTTATCTCATTACCATTTTTAGTGACCGCAAAGCTGTTTAGAATTCACTAACCTTTTGGTCGCCTAGATAGGTCAATTAATTACAAAACCCTTAGAAACGTATTCATAACAAAACGATAGCGAACTCGTTGAGAAGCGGGAACTTGTTTGCTACGTTAAGACATGTAGGTACAAATTCTTTTATCAAAATACAAAATATAAATAGGAAGGGTCAAATTTCGATAATTCTCCGATTGTAGATTGAGTTCCCAATCTTGAACGGATTAAAGAGTTGAGCGCGAAAGAGGTCTACAGCACTTTTGGAGGCAGTGATGGCCATGGAGTACGCACACATCGACACATTCCCATCGAGAACTGAACCTAGAAGCCAAGGAAATATAACAAATCAAGAGTTAATGCTGGAATACAGCCTGGTTATCTTGCTCCTGGGTTGCTTTGCGTTGGTGTCTCTTTGGTTCAAATTTTATCAACAAGTAATGGATTATGATTCATTCTTCTGTTTGAAGACAAACTGAACTAAAACTGGATGACTGGGGAGAACGTCAGGTAGAAACACGTTAGGGAATCGTCCGCAAAGGATGGAATTTATCAGCACAACAGCACAAAGAGAATTTTAGAATATTACGACATCACAGAAAAATGAGCTTTTGCCTTTTCAGAAGACCTTTTGTAGAATAAAAAAATTAATTGTGTTATTTCTCTTTTTTACATTTTTATTTTGACACATTTTTTTAAATTCTTGCATCGTCGCGTGCCTTACAAATTGGATATATTTATGGATGTTCAACGTGTTTTGAAGTTCAGATGGAAAAGGTGTAGTTATAAGTTGATAAACATGACATTGATGAAAACAATGTAAAACAGCAGGTTCGCGAAATTGACTTGATCGGGGGAACTGTGGATTGTCATCGACGTGGTTCAAGCTCCTCCTTGTTTTCGAGAAGAAACTCAAGGGAGATGTTTATTTATTTAAAGATTGCAGTCAGCGATAATTGAGCTATCCTTGAATTAATGAAATAAGTTGTTGCTAAAAATTGTAACATACTTACTGGTAGCCATAGATGCATGTACTTGTATTGCAAACTTGACTGTTTTCTTGGCTATATATTTTTTCTCAGAATTAAAAATCTTTCAGTTTCATCTGAGGGTAGACTCCGCTGTTTACTAAATGGGATATGAAATCAATGGAATTTCAGGCTCTTGGCATGCCATAACTGTTGTTTACGGTTCTGTCATGCATCACGTGATAAAAGGTCAGGTTATCAACTTGTTTTGTTCACAATTGCTGTTAATTTTCGACGTCTTTCCATCAAATTTGAATTCTATCGATTTTCAAAGCAGCAACGTTACTAGCTTTTCATTTTTTATGATTATGGCAGAGCCAAACAGTTATAAAGAGGTTACCTCGCCATTAGAAGATAGTTTGTTTGGTGGGGCGGGAGTAATCAGGCCCTTGTTTGTGAGTTCCAAGTTGTCCGAGGATGCGCTCCAACAAAGAGCACTCTTAGTTCCAACACAAAAGAAGTGTTGCTGTAAGAACTGCTTATTCAGTGCAAGGAAACGGCATTTTGGCATAAGTTCAGCATTGCTTAAAATTGTGGCTATCATTTCTATTGAGGGGGGCAGACATTGGGGTTTACGGTGTTGCGTTGATCTCAAACCTTACGGTGTATGATGTTTGTAATTTCAAACCGACGGTGTTCGGTTAAATAAATATCTTTCGCTGTTGCAGTTTATCCTTTAACCCTTTTTAAACTAGATTTTTATAACTCACGGCTAACTGTTGAACAAAATAAGCAATTCATCCAAGTTAATCTTTAATAAACATTACTGATTAACCTCAAGCCGTGTTCGTTAATATTTCACTCGGCCTCTGGACCTCTACCACATTGGCAGCCAAAGACCAGCGCGCGGTAACGACGACTGAAACCAGACCGGGTAAAAAATAGCCACAAAATTGTTTATTTAGAAAAATTATCTTTCACCACCGACACTTAACAGGTGCGGTGGTTTTTCGCGGCTTGACAAGTTTTGGTCGAAGCGGACAAATTTTCAAACGTACCGCCGACAAAATTTGTCCCGGGAAAAATCAACTAAATAAACAAAACCGTGATAAACATGTCGATCATCTGTCGTAAACGCCGTGATCAGTGTGGTAATTGAACGGAGTTTAGTTTACCAAAAGATTGCAGTAATTGTCTTTCTTTGCGAAACTCGCGAATTTCACAACTTCAAACAACTTAGATGAATCCTGGTAATTAGAGTTTGAATCCATAGACAAATTAAAGCGGCCAGTCTGATGAGCAGGTCAGGCGCTGAATGCAGCCGGGGCAAGATACAACGGTGGAGTGATTTGCCAGTCACCGCTTTGCCAGTCCAACAGTGAAACAGTAGATGGCACAAGATCCAAAAGTGCCAAATCAAAGAAAAGGGAAAGGAAAAGCCAAATTGAATAAAATTACAGCGAAATATAGAATCTGTTTTTTTTTTTGGCTGTTAACCAAATTTGACAGATTTAACAGCTTCGGCCCTTTTTAGTACGGATGCAACAGAGGAGACAAAAATGTGTCCTTTCATTTTTTGGGGACAATTCTAGCTTTGTCTGCTCGTGCGGAGAGGCCCTATATCGCAGTGTGAGTGTATTGATGATATTTCTTGCGGTGAGGCGGCGTTTCCCCCATTTTGTTTGCTGTGCTGCGGTATTCAGAACCGCTCATGTTTCCTTCCTGAAAGACCAGGAATGAGCACTAGCGTGCTTCTTTGAGAATGAGTCACAACATGCGATAATTCGCTTATTGCACGAAAAAGAAAAGCATTGCACAGTATATGGTAGCAGTCCACTGCCAACAGAGGTACTCACTGGGATATGCTGTTAATAGCAAGCAACTGAAAAATGATAAGTAAGAGCTTTGAACAGTTGCTAAATGACAGCTGATTGCAATCATCTGTCGATGGCGCATTGCTGCGTCAGAGCTTTGGCGAAAATCATAATCATCACAGGTTTTTTTTCCCCAAAAACTCAGTGTTTCGTTGACAGGAAAGGCGAATCAGACACTTGGATACGCAGGACTGTAGGAAACAAAACTAAACAATTTCAATTGTGAACCTTCGCTAGTCGTTACAAAAATGATCATTGACAAAACTTTCTTTCCATTTCTGCATTGCATTTCCGATCTTTATCGATAATACTGACATTTTTTATGACTCGAAATACCAATAGCACTTCCAGATGATATCTACGAAAAGTTCATTTGGTTTTCTTACCGTGAATTAAAGATATTTTGAAATGCAGTTAACTTGGACACTTTCTCATCTGCCCGTAAAGGTATCATCCTCATTATCAGCAATGGCGACGTCTCAGTTACGTTTTGAGCATATTCTCATGTTTTGAGTTTATAAGCTCCTAAACTATCCCAAGTAATCATTTTCTGTAATTAACTGAGATACACCCCAGTAGTTGATTCAGTTAGGTAAGCCAATTTCCTGATTACCTCTCAGTTACTGTGTATTTTCTTCAACTAATAAACGGTGGTTACCCTATGCTGCACAATATTACGGAAATCATGATTGATCAGTCAGTTCTCAGTGTGTACTTTAGATTTACGGATCTTATGAAACTGATCTACGTTTTTCTTACCACGTGAATAAACATTTTTTTTTAACTTGTCGTCATTTTTATCAATACATGCAGCTTTTGTTTCTGACGAAGGAGGAAAAGTGAAGGAGAAGGAGTCTGGGCCCTGCCTAGAGAATTACCCATTTTCCTCTTCTCTAAAAGTGTGATTGTGCCTGATGTCGGTTTGAATTATTTACCTTTTCTACCGGATTCTGAAAAACTGCATTAAGTCAAGAAAAAGCTAAGAGTCTGAACAAAATATATTTATCTTTACGTTTGCGCGGATGATTTGTTTGCAACGTTGGTAATACAACACCCTTGCCGTTTGCATTTGGCACGCTATCAGGATGTGATGACTTCCGCCGCCCAAAAAGAGCTAATTAAAAATGATATATAACCACCCACATGTTTCGCCGAACGATAAGATATATATAGAGCATTAGGAATAAACTCCTTGCACCGTGAAAGTAAGCATGAACAATTCACTTCGTGCTGAAGAACAATCGCGGATGTTGGTATCAAGAAATCATTTTGAGATTCACTTATATTCAACCCACGAGGTGATTTTGGAATACTGTTTGCTAATTATATTGCTGGCATTCGCGGTTATAGCAACTTTTTCCGTTAAATGTTTGAGTAGTGGCTTTCATTCTGGAACTTGCTGTGGCGTACTCAAGAAGAGCATTTATCATTCTTGAGTTTCCGAGGAAGACGAAGAAACGTAATGTAAGGAGTGACTCTGGTATCCAGAACTGCACCGTTACCCAGAAGTAACCTTCAGTATAAAGAAATAATCAAACATTGTTTACGAACTCGTAAACATAGCGAAAATGATTTGTCGACAGGAAGTCAGTCGCGATTTATTGAGTCAGACTGTGTTTCTGGTCACAAACAATGCACCTGTGAGAGTAAATCTGGACACAGCTTGGGTACTGCACACAAACTGCATCATGCGTTATTTATTCTATTTTGTTTACGACATAATAATAATAACAATCTTTTATTAGGAAGCTCCATCACAATAGTGGTTTACATAGAGGTCCTAAATATCGATTTATCAGTAACTTTACGCACTGTTCACTGTTGTGAACACTCTATACGACAAGATGCATTTATAAGAGTTTATTGTGATATGACCTACTGTGACTAACATACTTATACAAAAATTTGGCCTCACAGTGGCTTTGTTTTGCGATGTTGTCTTTATATGTATGACATCGAAGAAATAGTCAAAGCCATCAAAACTGTAAGAACATGATTAAATTATCTGGTTTATAGTTGAAACCTGCAGATTGCAGGTGTGCAGTTTTCATTTCGATTGCAGTATGCCACGAGGTGATACTGTACGTCACTTCATTTTTAGAAATGATACTAAGGATTTAAATATACTCATAAAAAAAACAGGAAAAATTAATTGCTATCGTGACTTCTACACATGTAGATCTCCTGTAACTGGTGAGATCCGTTTCACCAATATTCAAAAAATTAAGAACTGTTTGGAAATTTGACTTAATTTGTCCATCAGGTAAAATATTACCCACGGTGTTAGAATGGTCTTGTCACGTACTTAGAAACAGAATTTATACCAGCTCCCTGGTCAAGAATAACGAAAACTGTTAGGCCATAATCACCATAACTTCAATGGCTGCTTTCAAAGAAACATATTTAGAATGAAGAAACTTTGACTCTACCTACTCGTAATACTATCAGTTTTTTTGGTTGTGATAAAATTTCAAATGCCTATTGCCGTCGTCGCATTGCGTGCAGAAGTGATACAACATTACCCATGATATCAATCACCATGTTACGCCCTGCTTTGTGGATTAAAAGTTCGCGTGACCTCACTGTTATTCACAACCTTCAAGTTGCAACAGGCGTAAATGATTGATTAAGTGATCTAATCGCAATTTTGCGGCAATCCTTTCGAGCCGGATGACTGACAATTATTAAATGCTGCTCGCTAATGATCAGTGTCATGATCTAATTGCCGTTTATTCCGCACTGACCAGCGAAATGAATATATTTCAAAGACGAATATTGGAATACGCCTGTTTTCAGGGTACTAACCTCGGTGGTAGCTCTATAAGTCGTAGGGAAGCGAAAGAAAGGAAGGAGAAGAAAGAATAAAATCCTGTTACACTTAAGCATCATTACTCTGCAATGTTGCCATGAAATTTGATGCGGTGGATGAGATATTTCACTCAAAGCAATGTTAATCTGTTAACCATTTTCTCCGGTTCTAGATACGATTAAGGGTTGAGGGATTAATTCACTATTTTTCAAAATTTAATTTTTTCAGGCCATGCTGTTAAGCAAAATTAGAACAGTCAGAATTTACCACATGAAATATCCAAAATAAGAGTCGTCGAAAAGCATATCCATGCGAAGTTCGTGCACGAGAAGTTTGTCTTCCACTTCATTTCAAGCACAAGCAACGCTTCAAAGAAGCTATCAATTGGATTAAATCGTTGTGGGTTGCTGGTGTAATGAGGCATTATGAAAGTAAAGAAGACCGCAAGTAAAA